TATATAATAATTATATTATTAACATTAATATTTTATTTTTTATTAAAAAATTAATACTTTTTTTTTATATTTATGAGTAAATTTGCCTGCTTTACAGTTTAAGGGATAAGAGTATTATCTAGTATTTTTATTATAATAAGTATATTAACTACTATAATATTATAGTTTATTAATTAATTAAAATAAAAAATTTTAATAAATTTAAAATATAATACTTTAAATATTAAAATTGTCTAATGCATTAACTTTATTTATAAATAAAAAAAAATTAATAATTTTTCTATAATTCTATATATAATATAATAAGAAAATTCAAATATAATCTAATATATATTCTGATTTTTAATATTTATCTACTTGTATAGATTAAATAATAAGCTCTTTTTATATCTAATATGAAGATTTACTCTTAAAATAGTTTTATTAACCTGTGATATAAATAAAAAAAGCTAAAATTATAATAAAACATTTAATATATTTTAAGTGTAAAATATTCTTATCTTTTTTTATTCATATTTTTTATTATTTATTATTTATATAAAAGTAACATTTATTATATATTATTATATAAATTTTTTTTCTCTTAATTTAAATTATATTTTTATTATAATAAATATTAAAATCTTTTATAGATTCTTTATATACAAATATTTTTTTAATTATTTCTTCTTATATATCATAATATCTTATCATTAATAACTATTATAATAAATTTTTTTTCCTCTTATCATATTTATATTTCACAAATACAAATTTATTATACTGAATAATTAGATAATAGGAATATATTAAAATATAATAAAAATATAATAAAAATAATAAAAATGTAAATAAATATATTTTTAGATAAAGCTTCTGCAAAAATATTATAAAATATTAACAAAATCCTTTTTAAAAGGAATATTATCAATTATTCTGAGAATTTAATTGCTATATAAATATATTTTTAGATATTAGAAATAAAAATAGATTATAAATTAAAATATATTATAATTAATTAAATATTATATCAAATAGTTAAATAATAAAAATGTAATAATAAAATAATGAGAATTTAAACAAATGAAATAATAATGTAATATAAATATAATATAAATATAATAAAGATAAAATTGTATATTTGTAATATATAAGATTACTTATTTAAATTCATTTAAGATTTGATAAAAAGTTTAAACTATAATTTTGCTAATTTTTTATTAAGGTTTTAATATAGTTTCATATTTTTATAAACTTTGATATAGTTTTACCTTTTTTAGAGTTTTGCAAATTTTTAAAAAGATTTTAATATACTATAATTTTGCTAAATTTACTTTTTACTATTTAGATAACTTATAAAACCTTTAGGTTTTACCTAATAACCTTAGTAATAAATATATATACAATTTTAAAATGCTATAGTTTACTACTTAGATATTTAAATTCTTGATAACTAATATGATAACCATCTTTTGATCTTGCTAATTCTTTACCTATTTTTTTGAAAATAAGGTAAGTAATCAATATTACAAATTTATAGAAATAAAATAAAATTAAGTTAAATAATCAAAAATATAAGAATTAAATAATAAATTAAAAAATACTTAAAAATAAAAGAAAAATAGTATAGTTAAATTATATTATAATAATCAAGTTATATCTATATTATTCAAATTATAAAGTGATAATTAAATTATGATATAGTAATTAGATTATATATATGTCATCTTAATTATAAAGTGATAATTGAATTATGATATAATAATTAGATTATATATGTTACTTAAGTTATGAAATGGTAGTTATAACTTAATCTAAGTGATATACTATATTTTAATCTAATTAGATTAAAATATATACTACTATATTTATCTTATTTTATATTTAAATTTATCAATTTATATTATAATTATTTATTTAATAATTATTTAACATAAAATGCTAAATAACTATTATATTTGCAATAAGTAATATGATTGGTGAAATTTGCTAAGCTCTACTCAACAAATACTATTAATAATATTGCTTATTATAAATACAAAGATTTAACTAAAACAATTTAAATCAAATAATTTAATTTTTAATTAGCTTTTTTTAAATTTTAATTAATATATTAATAATAATTATTATTAATAATTAATAAATTTTCAAATTAATATTAAATGATTTTTTAAAAATATAAAGTTAATATATACTATAATCTCTAAAAATAAGTAAGTTATTTTTATTATAAGTTTGCTTATTTTTCAGATAGTTAGTCTCTGAAATATGAATTCTATAATTATTGATATAACTGAATATATAATTATTAAATCTTTAATAACATAATATATGAAGCAATTTTTAAAAATCACTCATTATTAAAATATTTAAAAAAATTTGTTAAATATAAAGCTAAAAAGATTATTTAACATATATGAACTGCTTATTCTATAAAACAAAAGATAAAAATTATTATATATATAAAAGAATATGCAAATACTAAAATTATAAACCATTTTAATATTAACATTACATAGTTAGACATTAGATAAAAGTAAATTTAAATTATATAGCTGAAACTAGTAAAAAAAATAAATAAGTAAGTTCTTGGTAAAGATTTTTTTTTCTAAAGCTAAAAAGAAATTATATAAATGGATTATTGAATAAAGAAAGTAAGGACTAATCATATTATATACAATTTTTTAAAAAAAATTTTAAAGAGTCTGAAATAATAGAATTTTATAGTAACTTAGCAAAAAATTTTTAAATTTCTTATTATTAATTAATAGTATTTATAAGATAATATAAGCTTATATTATAATAAAATGTAAGAATATTCCAAAAATTTACAAGTCAAACTCAAGAACTTTTAGAAAAATTTTACTAATTGTTATTAATTTAAGATTAAAATGCTTATAAATTAGAATATATATTTAATATAAATAAAATGCTTATTTGGTTTGATATATCTAGTAACTTTATAAAGAACAAAAAAAAAGTATATGTTCATATAATAAGTAAGAAAAAATTATTTTATCATTATTTTGACATATATTATAGATAGAGTTGGTAAAATCCTAATAGATCTTAATTAGTCTTAAAAGATTTAAAAAAATTTTTTATTTATATATTATTAATTAGATTTTTTAATAATAATTTTGTTTATTTATTAATTAAAATAAATAATTTATTTATTAATTTAATATAAAAAAATTATTTAAAATTAAAATTTTATTTAATTTAAGATCTGGTCTTAGAACTTAAATTCTAATCTAATATTTTTTTAAAAAAATTTAAATTTTAAAGAAAATTTCAATTTATTTTAATAAGTAATTTTGATTAAGAAATTATTATAAAAATATTATTTAAAAAAAAAATTAATCTTTAAAATTAATAATTATTTAAGACCAATTAAGATATATTAGAACTTTTCATTCTTAACTATAGGTAAAAAAGTTTTATATAATTTAATGATTATTAATATATCAAATTTTGATGACTATAATTTTTTATTAATTTTTAAAAAAAAATATTTTTATAACTCTTTTATTTTATAGAAAAAATGAAGATACTTTTAATTTGTATATTTAAAGGAAAACAGTTATCAAGTAAAAACTTATTTCTTTTATATTATAGTAAAGTTTTAAAAAAACAGATGGATGAATTCAAATTTAATGAAAAAATATGTGGATTACTTTAATGAAATAAGACAAAAATATGATACTAAAAGGATCTTACTATGTTAATTTATGATTCTTTTAAAATTACTTGAAGAAATTAGTTAAAAACAATTTGATTTCACAGTAATACAAGCAGATTAGCCAACATTTGTTAGCCTCTTAATATTTCTATAAATAAGCTATTTAAAGATAACCTTTGCAAAGAATAACATATTTAGATAACAGGTGATGATGTAGAAAAAACTGTTGCAGAAAATCTTTATCACGTTAAAACTAGTGATGTTTGTTTATAGGTTAAATGCTTTTGAAAAGTAATTTCAGATGAAATTATAATTGAATCTTTTAATATAATTTCAACTGATTTTAATGAATCAGAATCAGAGTTGAAGATTCTTTCAGATTTTTTAGATGCTGTCAATAATGATGGTAATAGTAATAGTGATGGTAGTGATAGTAGTAATAATATTAATAATGATATATAGATAGGACACAAGTTATTTTAATATAATTCGTATTTTAAAATTTTAATATCATTCTGCATTTATTTGAACTTTAATTTATTTAATTAAGCTTTTTTATATTTATCTTTTTGGGTCTTTATTTTCTACACACCTGCACAAAATGTAGGGTGTGTTATATAAGAAGTGACAAATAAATTTTCTATAAAAAAAATTCTAAATCCCCAGAATAAACCGTAAAAATGAAACACATAGGGGTGTGATGCATTGTGATAAATAATCACTAACCCTAATCCTAATCCTAACCCTATCTAACCCTAACTCCGCTTCAACATATATAAATATGGGGGATGCACTTTTGTGCAGGGTGCGCAAAATACAAATTCTCTATCTTTTTATTGTTTATTTTAACTATAATTAAGATGAATTTTGATTAATAATTAAAAATACTCGGAGCTTGCTTATTTTCGGATATTTAAATAATTTTTGAACTGCTTATTTTCGGAGATTGCTTAATTTCGGATAACTACGGTATTTTTTATTAATTTATTCAAATAAGACTAATATCAATTTGTAAAAACCTATTACTTTTATTTTAAAATCTAACTTCTTAAAAGTTTTGGTAATATTAAAATAAAAAAAATTACAAAATCAAAAATTATATCTTTTTTTTTTTTTTTTGCCATAATATACAAAATTAAAAACGTTAAAATTTTTTAATTCTTTAAAAAAAATAAAATAAAAATTTAGTTACTATTATATTGATTGAAAAATGCATGTTAAAATATTTAAAAAATTTTTTTTACAAACCCATAAGAACCTAAGTTAAAAATTGAAATAAATTTTTCCAAGTACTTTTGATACTTTTGGTTAGAGGGAGTACCTTCATCTACTTTTTAATTTATGATGACTTGGAATTTTTTAGTTTTCTAAACCCTTTAACTTTACTCTCTTCCAATAGACTCAAATATTTTTCACTCAACTCTTTACAATTTTGATAATGATTAACGCCTTCAGTCTTATAACATCTTTTCATTTGGTCTCGAAGTAATCGAAGTTCCATCAATTTAACCCAATCTTCTCGAATCTTTTGTTCTCGTGCATCCATAATACCTATTCAACAAATAATATTTTTATTTTCAATAAAAATTAGCTTATATTAATGCACAAAGAAAAAAGAATTCTATTCCCACCTGGTCGATCGTTTTGTTCCACCTCTTCAAGCGGGGGAACAATGGGAAATGTTTTATGAGTAGGGTACTCCCAGCTCGCCATCTTTGTTTATTTTAAAACTTATAATTAATTTTTTTTTTAAAAAAAAAGAGTTTGAATATCGTATTGACATTTTATAGTGTTGGAAAAGATTTGATGTCACACGACATGCCATCGATGTTTATTTGTCAAGATCGTCATAAAAAAGTCATTATGGAAGATATGGAAAGCAGAACCAACAAGCGAGTCAACGAACCAAAACACCTACGAAGAAAAGTGGTATTTGTAGATCCTGATGACCCCGAAGCACCACATTGGTGGCCCGCCTTGGTAAAGTTTAGATCTGTTATTTAAAAACATTTTTTTAACAGCTAATTAAATACGAATATGTTTTAGGTGGTTCCACTTAAAGAAATCGAAATATTCAAGCAAAGAATGGACTATGATGTACAATACCCAGCTGAAGGAGAAAATGTAGTTTGTTATTTCGAAGATGGTTCATTTTCAATCGTACCAGAAAAGGATCAACTTCCTTTCGACCCAAAATGTGATCCATACACTAAATATATGGAAGGTCCTAATGCATCGAGTTTTCAAAAAGACAAGGCCGTAACGTTGGCTACACTTTATTTTGAAAAAGGTATTATACCACAATCTTTCAAATGGCTTCATAAAGAAGATAATATTAGTGTTGGTAGTACGGTCATGGTAGTTGGTTCTTCCGGTAATGGTATTAACGCGAACCATCAGTTTGGATCGGATGGACCATACATAAACGATGAAGATCCAACTGAAACTATTGTACACGAAACTAAATCTTTTGGAAATACGAAACGACACGCAAGAAAAGATAGTTCTAGTAACGGTGTGTTGGAGTCTAATATTTACTGATTATGCTGTATGCTGTATTTACTTATTGGAGTTATAAATTCAACTGTAATAGATCATGCGAATGTCAACAAAAAGGATGGACAGAAAAGAGAAAATGGTGGGACTACCCAACGAAAAAATAGCATTGGTGGTCCAACTAGGAAAGTAAGTCAAAGAAATTCAAGGATGCGATACTAGTGGGTATTATTTAAATTTTTTTTCTGAAATGTGGTACATTTATTTTTAGAATTCTGGTCCAATTGCGGGAAATCCAACCTCGCGAACCATGAAAGCAAAACATAATAAGACATCAGGAAATACACGACAACTATCCGCAAATTTCACTACAAAACATTCTTCAGTTAATCAATCTATAAATCATAATAATTTATCTTCCACACAATCAACAAAATCCATAAATTTTAGTACCTCTGCAACTACGTCAATATCGTTTGGTGCATCAAATCCCGTAGCGGTTACGGAACGCATCTCTACTACGTCACGAATAAAAGCATGTTCACAATGTGGAGAGAAGGCCAGCTCAGCGAAAGCCGCAGGTGGATCAGAACTAACTCACACACAAAGTCACGGTGTTTTGTGTAGTGAATGTGGTGAATTAATGAATTCGTTAATAATAAAAGATGGTGATGTTGTGATGGAAAATGATCAATATTTTAAACATTTTATTGAGAAAAAACGTAGACAACCTGAACGACTCTGGAGTATAAAAGATGTTGAGAAAGTTGAGATGAGCATTCTATATGGAAAATTACCGGTTAGTAAGCGACAAAGGTGGTTAGATAAATCTGAAGGTATGATTTTTGAAACGAAATTATTTATTTATAATTGCAATTAAAGTTTTTTTTTATTTTTTTATTTTTGTGTTTGATGGATTTATAACATACTTGTTTTTTCTTTTCAGATATAATGGAGTTAACAAAACAATTTGAAGATTAATATATATTTTTTATTAATAATAAACTTTAAAATAAATTATTATTACTATTAATAATATAATTTGACATATAATTGGAGATATTTAGAAATATAAACATAGTAAAAAAAAATGGATTATATAAATGATGTAATATTAATTCAGTATTTAAAAAAAGAATAGCTTTTATTAGATACCTTTTATTTGAAGAATTTGGTTTAATTATTAATCTTTTATAATTTATATATTTTTATATATAAGGCGACACAACTATAAAAAAAATGGTTCTCATACCGATCATTTAGTATTTTAAGATCGGCGGTCGGACTTTTTTTTTCTATTAGCTTTTCTTTCTGATATTTTATAATAATCATCCATTTCTTGAAGCAAATCAAACTTATTTTATTAATTTTAATGATTATTATGTTGAAAATTGGCATAGTAAAATTAGAAGAAATACAATTTCTCAACATTCTTCAAATGCTATTATTTCTCAAGCATTTTTATTAAAATCATATAAAATAAGTATATTCTTTATTAATTACTTTAATCAAACCTTTAAAAATTTAGAAAAAAGTAAGAAAATTAAAAGAATGAATATTATCTATCAACATTAAATCAGAAAGTGAAATTAAAATGCTTACTTACTGAATATCATACATCTAAGCTATCATCTTATAATATTTGTGATTATTGTAATCAAAAATTTAAATGTTTAAATAAAGAAGAAGATATAATGTTGATATATAAACATGCTTTCTATTACAAATGTTTTGAGAATAAAATAATAAGTGTAATTATTGTTTAGAATTCTATAAAAAAGGTGTAGTATTTAATGTAAATCTTATATAAAAAGATTAGAAAAAGATGATAATATTAATAATAGCATATTAGATGATGAAATATTAGATAATGATAATGAAGAAGAAGAAGAAGAAGAATATGAAGAATATGAAGAAACAGTAAAAAAAATATTAGGACTTTAATAATACTTTAAAACTTGTAAAAACTTGATAAAATATAAGTTATTAAATAAAATATATTAAAATATATATAATTTTAACCTTAAAATTTCAGCTCTCATCTAATTTTCTTAAAGCTGAGATCTTCAGATCTTTTTTTATTCAAATATAAAGAAAGGAACAAATGATATATCAATGTAAAAAAATTACGCATTGATAGATTAATTTTTAAAATATTATTGATCTTTTTTTATTACTTTAAATTAATTAAAATCTAATGCTCTAAACAGTTCAGTTCAGTTTAGATTATAGGCCAATTTGTAACTAAACAAAAATTTCAGTTCAGTTCAGTTCAGATTATAAATCTTAAAAATGCTAATCTGAAACTGAACTGAACTGTAAACTAGTAAAAATCTGAACTGAATCGAAAATTTCAGATTAATCTGAAAGTTCAGTTCAATATATTCAAATCTCGAAGGGAACCTAATATGTAATTCTCTAAAGAGTTTTGCGATTCTTTTATAGTTTCGCAATTACTTTACGATTCTCTTTGAAATTTCATAAGTAATTTGTGATTTTCTTAGAGTTTTACAATTACTTTGTGATTTTCCTTAGAGTTTCATAAGTAATTTGTGATTTTCTTAAGAGTTTCGCAATTACTTTGCGATTCCTTTAGAGTTTTACAAGTAATTTATAATTCTCTTAAGAGTTTCACAATTACTTTGCGATTTCTTTAGAATTTTGCAAGTAATTTGCGATTTTCTTAGAGTTTTGCAATTACTTTGCGATTCCTCTTAGAATTTCGTAAGTAATTTGCAATTCTCTTAAGAGTTTTGCAATTATTTTGCAATTCTTTTAGAATTTTGCAATTACTTTGCGATTCTCCTTAGAGTTTCGCAAATAATTAGCAATTCTCTTAAAATTTGGCAATTACTTTGCGATTCTCTTTAGAATTTCGCAAGTAATTTGCAATTCTTTTAAAGTTTTGCAATTACTTTGCGATTACCTTAAAGTTTCACAAGTAATTTACAATTCTTTTAAGAGTTTCATAATTACTTTGTGATTCCTCTTAGAGTTTTACAAGTAATTTGCAATTCTCTTAAGAGTTTCGCAATTACTTTGCAATTTCTCTTAGAGTTTTACAAATAATTTTTGACTCTTAGAGTTTCGCAATTACTTTGTGATTCTCTTAAGAGTTTCACAAATATTTTACAATTCCCTTTAGAGTTTCACAAGTAATTTGCAATTCTTTTAGAGTTTTGCAATTATTTTGCAATTTCTTTAGAATTTCGCAATTATTTTACGATCTTTTAGAGTTTCACAATTACTTTGTGATTCTCCTTAGAGTTTTGCAAGTAATTTGCAATTCTCTTAAAGTTTCGCAATTACTTTGCGATTCTCTTTAAAGTTTCGCAAGTAATTTACAATTCTTTTAAGAGTTTCATATTACTTTGTGATTCCCCTTGGAATTTTACAAGTAATTTGCAATTCTCTTAAGAGTTTCGCAATTACTTTGCAATTTCCCTTAGAGTTTCACAAATAATTTTTGATTCTTAGAGTTTTGCAATTACTTTGTGATTCTCTTAAGAGTTTTGCAAATATTTTACAATTCCCTTTAGAGTTTCGCAAGTAATTTGCAATTCTCTTAGAGTTTTGCAATTACTTTGCAATTTCTTTAGAATTTCGCAAGTAATTTGCAATTCTCTTAAAGTTTTGTAAGTAATTTGCAATTCTCTTAAGAGTTTTGCAATTATTTTGCGATTTTTTAGAGTTTCACAATTACTTTGTGATTCTCCTTAAAGTTTCACAAGTAATTTGTAATTCTCTTAAAGTTTCGCAATTACTTTGCGATTCTCTTTAGAGTTTTGCAAGTAATTTGCAATTCTCTTAAAGTTTCGCAATTACTTTGCGATTACCTTAGAGTTTCACAAGTAATTTACAATTCTTTTAAGAGTTTCATAATTACTTTGTGATTCCCCTTGGAGTTTTACAAGTAATTTGCAATTCTCTTAAGAGTTTCGTAATTACTTTGCAATTTCCCTTAGAGTTTTACAAATAATTTTTGACTCTTAGAGTTTCGCAATTACTTTGCGATTCTCTTAAGAGTTTTGCAAATATTTTACAATTCCCTTTAGAGTTTCACAAGTAATTTGCAATTTTCTTAAAGTTTCGCAATTACTTTGCGATTCTCTTTAGAGTTTCACAAGTAATTTGCAATTCTCTTAAAGTTTCGCAATTACTTTGCAATTACCTTAGAGTTTCACAAGTAATTTACAATTCTTTTAAGAGTTTCATAATTACTTTGTGATTCCCTTTGGAGTTTTACAAATAATTTGCAATTCTCTTAAGAGTTTCGCAATTACTTTGCAATTTCCCTTAGAGTTTCACAAATAATTTTCGACTCTTAGAGTTTCGCAATTACTTTGCAATTTTCTTAATTGTTTCACAAATATTTTACAATTTCCTTTAGAGTTTTGCAAGTAATTTGCAATTCTCTTAGAGTTTTGCAATTACTTTGCAATTTCTTTAGAATTTTGCAAGTAATTTGCGATTCTCTTAGAGTTTCATAAGTAATTTGCAATTCTCTTAAGAATTTTGCAAGTAATTTTGCGATTCTCTTAGAGTTTCACAATTATTTTGCGATTCTCTTAGAGTTTTGCAAGTAATTTGCAATTTTCTTAGAATTTTGTAATTATTTTACGATTTCCTTAAAGTTTTGCAAGTATTTTGCAATTCTCTTAAGTGTTTCGCAATTATTTTATGATAAAAGAATCATTCTAAATGATCTGAAATTTTAGATTAATCCAAAATTTTCAGTTCAATTCAGGTTTTTTCAGTTCAAATTAGATTTATAATCTGAAAAAAATCTGAACTGAACTGAAAATTTTCAGATTGAATTTTTTGCAATCTGAAACTGAATCAAAGTTGATCTAAACCAAAAATTTTCAGATTAATCTGAATCGTTCAGAGCTTTATTAAAATCGAACATTACACAATATAAAAAGATTGACATTTGATTTTATCATTATGTGATATAATAAATGTTTATTATGCTGTATTAATTACTTTAAATCAAAATTTATATCAAACTTTTTATATCTTTCTTTTATATATCACATATACACAAAAAATTATAGAAGAGAAATTTATAGAAAATATACTATTCAAATTAGATAAAAATAATACAGGTTTTAATGATAAATAGGATGAAATCTCTAAAATTTTTATACTTAGTTTATTAGCTTTAAATAAAATTTATTATTTAGAACTTTATATATACAATATAATCAAATCTTAATATTGGTACAATTATATTTTACCTTTTTATAATGATAGAAGATTTAAAAATATAATAAGAATGTTTTTAAAAAGTTTTAAAGTATTAGTTAACTTACTTAATATTCATTCAGTTTTTCATTCAAATTATATAACTTAATAAGCATCTGTGAAACTTCAATTAGCTGTATTTTTAAGAAGATTGAGATCAAAAAAAAATGTTTTTTTTTTATATTCACATTATAGAATAATTAAAGAGATTGTAATATAATATTATATATAAGTAATGAAAGCTATTATTTTAAATAAATCATAATTTATTAAATAACCTACTGAATAACAAAGAAAATGTATTCATTCTGAATTTAAAGCTATTGAGAACAGTGTTGTCAATTGGACTAATTGAACAATTGGATAATTGGATATAATTCAATTAATCCAATTAAATAATTAAACAATTGGACTTAGTCCAATTGCCAAATATTTTATCAATTAATAAAAATATATAAAATAAATCACATAATATATATAAAATACTAATGGTACTAATGATTTTATTATTAATTATTTCCTATTAAAAACTTTTTAAATAATTGGGAAATTCTAAATTATTTGCAAATATATCACATAAATTCCATTTTGCTTATATATCATTTATAGGATATACTATTTGAGAAATATTAGCTATAGTAATATCAAAGTTTTCATTTACATTTGTTTTTTCTATTTCTAAATCTTGAACTTCATCTTCAATAAGTTCAATCCAATTTGCTATCATATTTTGCCAATCATTAGTTATTTTATTACCTAAAGTTTCATATTCTTCATCATTTTCTATTTCATTATCTGATATATTAAATGGTAAAATAATATCTTCATCAAATATTTGAATATCATCATCAGTATTTCTAATAGTAGAAAGACTAGAAATCATTTTTTTATATTGTTATGCTTCTTTATCAATTTGTAAAAACTGCTCATCACATTACATTTAAGCTCTAATTTGAGTTATTCCTAAAACCTTTTTTGCATATTAAAAATATAATTAATTAATTAATTTATTAATTAAAAAATAAAATAAATAAAAACAAAATATAAAAAATAAACTTATAAATTATAAATTATTACCTTTAATCTATTTCTTCTTTAGAATGATACCAATCTATAGTAGAAAATAATCATTCTAAAGAAGTAGTTGAAACTGTAATTGAAAAAATATGTTGCTTAACTTTATATAATTCTTTTAAATATCCTTGTATATAATTCCAATATTCTAACACATTATCTTTAAATTACTTTGCAATTGCATCAGTATATAGATATTTTTTGCATGATAATCTTCTAATTCATATAATAAAATAGTAGGATTTTCTTGAAACCAAGTACAATAGTAGTAAAGTATCCATTTACCCAAATGAGCAAAAGACAAATTTGATGTATTTGAATTAAATTTTGAATCATGATATAATGGATAAAGTAAAAATGCTAATAAAAAAAGTAGTTGTTCCCATTGTTTCCGTCGATTTTCAAGTTTTTTTAAAAAAATATTATCCAAAACTTGATTATTAAAACTTACTATACTTTCAAATCCATAAAGCACCTCATATAATCATGCATTATATCTTTGAATTTTATTTAATGCTGAACAATATGAAATTAAATTAAAAGCTCTTCTATTCTTATAACTTGATACCACCAATTATTACTAAGAATACAATCAAGATACTTGTCTGGAAAATCATATCCATCTAAAATTATTTTTTCTTCAATTTTAGTAGCTAAATTCTAATAAAATAAAAAATTTTAATTTCAAAATTAATAAATAATAATAAATTAATAATTAATTTAAACTTACTCGTAAAGTCCCTTTATTTTTAATAAACTAACAAAGTAATAGTAATGAGAATTCCATCAGGTTGTAGCAGAAGAAACTAAAGAAATTTGTATTTTATATGTATTTATTTGTTTAGTTTGAAGACATCTAAGCCAAACTTTTGAATGACTAAAAAATGTAATAATTCCAATTGCCTCTTTTACAGTATTACTTAAACTTGATAATTCCTTAAATATATCTCCTATACATAAATTCATTTGATATGCAAAGCAAGATAGAAACAATTTATTACGAAATTTAAGACACAATCATTTTTTAATTAATTAAAATAGTATTAAATTAGTTAAATTAGTTAAATTAATATATTATAATAATTTAAAATTAATAAAATAATTACTTTGCTGCTGCATTTTCTGATGCTGAATCTGTAATAAGCCTATTTATTTGTATATTTTGTTGTTCTAATTCTTCAAAAGCTTTTATAATTTTATTATAAACAATTTTCCATATATATTGTTTGCCACTTTATATTTTTTACTTTCTAAATAATCATATTATTTGATAATGTAAATAGTACTGAACCTAATAAATTTTATTTTAAGACATTTTTTCAACTATCAAATGCCAACATTACATCTAATTTATCATTTACTACTTCTTTAATAATATTTTCTGTTATTTTACTAGTGCTTTTATTAAGAATACAACCACTTCTTTAATTTGATAAAGGAAGCATAGAGTTAATCTACTTGAATAAAGACTTGTTTACTGAATTTTCAATCCAACTAAATGGTAAGTCACATGCTACTATCATATTTAATATTAAATGTTCAAACATATCAACTTGTTCTGGTTTTAATTCACAATACATTTAATTGTCAAGTGGATCAAAACTCTGATATGATATGTTGGAAACTTCACTTGTATTACTTTTTGTTATAGTAGATGAAGATTTATAAAAATGTTATTGAGATTGGAGGTTTCATACTTGTTAGATTCTTCTTTTTCATCATCAGATTTTTCATTTATATATTGTTGCTTATTTTTTTTTAGATTCATAATCCAATGCTTCATTAATGATACTTGTAATTTCTTTTTTGGTATACTTTTCAGCAAAATATAGGCAACTTTCAAAATGTTTTGCACATGTATGTTTTGTATTTGTAAATTTTTTTTCAAGCTTTTTCAAGTCCTAATACTCAAATACAATCTATACAAATAGCATAGTTATTTCACTTATTTGATTTTTCATCTAAAATTAAAAAATATCTGCTAAGCTTATGTTTTTCTTGCATTTTCTAATTAACTTTAAAGAGTTAGTTTTATATAATATAAAAAAAATGTGAAAGGATTTTATTAATATGGTGCCGGAAGTCTATACTCGACAATCACGTGACTTTGTTTCAATATTCGACGCTGATCACAAATCACGTGATTTAGAATTATCCAATAAGAATCCATAAAAATTGTGTAATAATTAGGAAAGGCAAATG